AAATTAATTTAATATATTAAATAATAAATATTAATTATTTTATTAATTATTATCTATTTTTAATAATTAAATTAAATTAAAAATTTAATAATTATTAATTACATTAACAAATTTAACAGTAACCTTATCCATACCGCTGTCCCCTACTCGATGTTTATCAATATAAAATTGAATATCAACAAGTACTTATCAATGGAGCTATATCTCACATCACATGTATGCATCAGTCATCAATAATAGCAGGTCGAGGCATATTAATGATAAATATATTTAATTTTTTTAGGTAAATTAAAAAATTTTACATAATATAATACTTCTACATTATTTTTGTCTTTGATATGGTTTATTTAAATATTATTAGTAAATAAGACAGATTCATATTGTTTATTTGCAAGAACTTTGTGTGTATTCTGAACTCATCATCTTCCACCAAAACTACCCTCCCACCTAACTCATGCAACTGCAATCATGAGCAAGTTTCACTTTGTTCCCCAGTACGTCTTGTATATTAAAATCTTCAATGTTCAAAAGGATGCCAAATTAATTGTCGTGACAGATAACAAAATACTAATCTTTTAGATTAGAGTTAAGAGTGTAACTCTTTTCCACTATCCAAAAAATGTTTCAACTTGAAAAATATATTGAAATACCTGAACAAAGACAAATAAGACAAATAAGTATATTGAGAAAGAAAAAAATTCAGCTCAACCTCACTTAAGCAATTTAACAAACACAGTGGTGGATATGACTAAGTGCACTTGAAGCCTTCTAGCCTTTGTTTTATCAACCCCACAAATTTCAAAAAGGTGTACACTATCTTTGAAATCTAACCTAAGAAAGGCCTTAAAAATAAAATAAATTATGAATCAAAGCATGCTATAAGAAAATTGTAATAAGAGGTTTGAAAGAGAAAGGAAAAGACTATTGATGGTTAGGCACAATACATAAATTAAACAAGATTAAATTAGATATAGAGTAAAATTCTCATATATTTTCTATAATACTTTAAACTTATTGACGATTTCTCAGATTTTAAGTAATTGATATTAGGGTGTTAAATTAAAGCAAATATTTCTCATATATTACCTTTGAAATTTGTTTAAAAATTGTAATTATCTAGTAACAAAATGATAAATTAAATATACAAAAAAATAATAAATTGAAATTATAAATATATATTATGTGGATAAATTTTGTTAAATTTAATTATTTTAATATATAAAATTGACAATATCTTTTTTTTTGAAAGTCAAAATAAATCTAAATTCTAAATATTCTTTTATTGAAAAACCCTCATCCTAATAGAAAATGATTTACTTAAATTTAATAATTTTACAATTGGTATTATCAAAAACCTTTCACCTCATTTTACTTTATTTATAAATTTTTTTAAATTTAATAATTTAAATGTTAAAAAACGACATTATCTAGTTATAATTAAATTAAAGTAATATTTTATTCATAAAAATATTAATATTTGACATATATTATATCCCAAATATAAAAAGCAGGTGGCGTTACTTCTACTTCAAATTTTGGCAAATTCCAAACGCAAGGTGTGGACACTACCTTGACATCTAACCCGTGGCAAGTTTTAGGGCCCCTTTGCAATTTCCTCACTGGTAAACCAGTAAATAGGGTTCTTAATCTTTTACTTTATGAATACTTTGATCCCAAACTTTTAACTTATTCAATTTTTGTTTAAGATTTTAACATATCTTGCTCTTAAAATTTTAAAATATTTTAACTTAAGTCCCTAAACTTAAGTTATTATGAAATTAAGTCTTTTCTCTGAAAAATAATTATCTACTTAAAATGAAAATTTCAAAAAAATTTTTGTTATTAAAATATAATATGGGTGAAGCCTATTACTAATATTTGAAATTTATCACAATTGTGATGAGTTACAGTGATAACTTTCATAATCAGAAGTCTAGATTCTATATATAATTATTTTTAAAGATAATTTATTTCATCATCATTGAACATATAGGTATTTGTGACCAATACTTAAAATGTGTCACAATTGTGATGACTTATAGTAACGATTTTCATTCTCACAAACCTGTATCATCTATGTGACAATTTTTAAGTGATGAAATACCTTTTAGTGCTGAATTTTTTAGTTATCGTTGAACATATAAGTATCTATAACAAAGATTTATCATTCATTATAATTGTGGTGAATATAATGATGAATTTTTTCATTAAAAGCCTATATATATATTGTGACCATGTATCAGTGACAAAATGTTTTTTTAGTGATGAATTTTTTCATCATTATTGAACATGTGTGCATTTGTGATTAATATTTAAAATCTATCACAATTTTAATGAGTTATAGTGATAGTTTTAGAATTCATCACAAATTTTTATCACTAAAAACCCTTTCTACTATATTAATATGGTAAGTATAATATATTGAAGGGTTTGTGTACGTAGGAGTATAGATTAAAACTTATTAATTAAGATATTTTTAATTAATTTTATATAAATTTTCATATATTTTCATATTAGATTCATAATTTATTATAGATTTTGAGTATAAATATTATATTATATTATTACATTATTTTATTTTATTTTATTTGAATATTGCATGAAAATTTATGTAAAATTAATTACAGATATTGCAATTAATGAGATTTAACTTGTATTCTAAATGTATAAGTTAGAAAATCCCTATATTAAATAATAGGTTCTCTATTTATTTAGTAGATTTAATTTAATTTTTTTATTTTTAAGATATATATTTTAGAAAAAAATTTAATAATTTATATAAATAATAGTTAAATTTTTTTATTCTTATATATAGTTCTTGTTATGCATTTTTAATTATTATTTGTATAAATGGTTAAATTTTTTTATCTAAATTTCATATTTTAAAAGTTAAAAGTAAACTTAATTTCATTAAAAATGAATGAAAGAAGTAGGATAATAGCTTATTAAATAGTATGATATTTTTTACTTTAGCAATAATGACATCGCATAGAGTTTGTTTAAGCGTATAAGTTTCTTTTTTTTTTTTTTTTGAGGAAGTGGAAATTTATCTATATTATTTCAAAGTAATGTACATTATTTACAAAGACCATCCTGTACAAGTAACAAGAGCAAAAGATTAGGAGGTCTATGTGCCCAAAAAAAGGGGCATTGCCCTTTAAGTGACTGTTTTGCCACCCAATCTGCAACCTTGTTACTCTTTCTTAATACAAAGGAAAACAAGAAGTTAGGGTGACAGTGAGAAATCTGCCTAATAGACAAAATGATAGACTTAATCTCCCAAGGAAGTGGTTTCTCAAGTTGTTGGAAGTGTGTAATTAAAGCTTGATTATTTGACTCAAAAAGTACATTTTGGGTGCCAATGCTTTCCGCATATTGAGCAGCTTTGTTTAGAGCAGTGGCCTTTGCCATGATTGGTGATGAAGCCATAAAGAGCCAGGATTTTCCAAAGCAGATTTCTCCTTTAAAGTTGCGGCCTACCATGACTAGAGCTGTAGATCCCGTTTGGGAAGAGTAAGAGGCATCAACATTTACTTTGAGGAAGCCCATTGGAGGTTTGACCCAGGAGGATTGCTGTTGCTTTTCATTGTCTTGTGACTTGGAAAGGGAAATCAGTGAGTGTTTATTTGTGGTAGAGCAATATTCTTGGGTCATAATAGAAATTCGGGTAAGGATTTGGTGTGGGTGCACATCAACATGTTCAAATTATTTTTCATTTCTTGCCTTCCATGTATGCCAACAGATTATTGCACATTGTTCTACCATAGATGGGATACCTATTTGCTTTGCAAAACTAGTGACATATTTCCACCATTCACTGAAGCAATTCACCCCCAGCTACCTAGGGTCAAAACCCAAGGTTGAACCAAACCATATTGGTTCCAAATGAGGGCAGTACAATAAAAGATGCATTAAGGTTTCATCAGCTATATGACAATTAGGGCATGTTAGGTTAAATACCCTTTTTGGTCCCTCTACTATAGGAAAAAGCCATTTTTTGGTCCCTGTACCGAAAAAATTCCCTTTTTGGTCCTTACTGTTCACAAATCCGACCCCTTTTTAGTCATTCTGTTAAATTTTGGCTGATGTGGCACGTTAATTAACGGAAACACTCATTCCTTTTTTTTATTAAATTACGTGGAAAATCCACGTGGCAAAA